CAGTTTGGTGACTCACCAGGGTTGTACTTTGCCAATAAAAATATTTTTCCCATAACGAGTTTCAACAAGACAACCACTTTCTCTTCTTTTTACCTTTCCCAAAAGGTCTCATTGCCTCATTATTGAATGTTCTGTGAAACTATTCACCGTTTGCTCTAGAAAGGGACCGATTGTCAGAAATGACTATTGCCATGTTGAAGATTATTTCTAGTCACCGTACCAATATATATCTTTAATCTGATGAAATTAGCGATTATGGATGTCCAGTGTCTTTCCAGCTAGGTCACGCACGGAAACAAACAAAAACAAAAACAGTGCACCCACGTAAGCGTCCCATCTGTCCCCTGAGACCAGCTGCTGGTGGGTGGGAGTGTGGCCAGTACAAACCTCACCTCTTACACCCTGCAACCCGCCATCCGCTGCAGATATCTATTGTATCTACACACACACACACACACACACACACACACACACACACACACACACACACACACACACACACACACACACACACACACACACACACACACACACATCCTCCCCTCGCCATTAGAATCATTAACTGGACACTTATTATATTAAGGCCGGACCCACAAGACTAATTCCACTAAGTGCAAAAAGCTTGTGCTAGAGTTTGTGTGTGTCTGTGTGTGTATTTGTGTGTGTGTGTCTAGTATATAAATGTTCATCCACAGCTTTGGCTTCTAAGCTTGTGCTACTTGCTGTGTGTCGATCAAACCTTTTTGACGTTGTGTCTCTCCTGTCGCTCCTTTAGTTCAAGTCTATTTGATGTTGGTCTTAAAATGGCAGGTTTAAACAAAGACTATCATGGATATGGTCTAAGAGAAAAGGACAGAGTGTGTGTTATGCATCATACAGTGGGACAGTTTAAAAGAAAATATTTAATAAATTCATAGTTGCTTGTGCAAGGATTTCCAAAAAACTTTGTAGTATTTATTATTTATTAGCATCTTTTAAAAGTTGTGTAGAACACGCTGTTTCCAGAAGTTGCTATTGAACCACATTAACTGCAGTCAGATTTAGTTATGTAATGCAGCACTTTTGTATTGCCTATTTTTGTGTTGGCTTTGTGTTATTGTGTATACCTCCTCAGTGAGTTTTCGCTAGTGTTTTGTTAACTGTAGCTAAAATGCTGGACAAAAACAGAATATCTTGCTTCTCTTTTTGTTACTGAAATCTTGTCCTTAATGTTTCCTCTCTATCTTTTCTGTCCTCAGATCACCAGAAACTGGACCGGGAGGCACGGATTTGTCGCCTGCTGAAACATCCAAACATAGGTAAGTCATTTCCCAATGAGAAGAAGGGCTTTGTTAGTTCAGAACAACTTAAACAAATATGTTCGATTTACCTCTGACCACGATAAAACCAAATATGTGGATAGGATTTGAAGTGATAACTGAAAAACATGGATTGTATTTCTCTAATTTAGGATCTTGTTGGTTATGTGCTGCGTTAAACCCAAATGGCAGACATAAAGCATAATCATTGCATTTGACCTTATTTTACGACTGTGGTCTCTTAATAAGTCGTTATTATTACCATAATAATCTCATGGTGGTGGACTCTCATAAAGCTGATGAAACAATGTTAAGTAGCGGTTATAGAAAGCCAGGGATCTCCAGCTGTGACACACAGTTTATTGTGGCTATTAAGGTACTTTTCAAACCATTAAAGCCTTATTGCCACAATTTGCTCATTCCTTCTACTCATTACTCATCAAGTCCAATCTGAACTTTCTGAAGGATATTTCCATTGTGAAAAAGTGCATTAATTGGCTAAGAAATCATAAAAGAGACATTATTTATAACTCAAGAACTGGCTTAATAATCATCATATCGTCTTCAGTAATAAAGTTATCCAGTGATTTGTGTCTATACATCCATGTTATATTGCAAACTGGTCGTGCTATCAACCAATTCTAATAGTTTAATTTGCCAAAGATGTCCGTGTAGCCAAAGCCACACTTTAGGGCAGGGGTGGGGAACCTTTTTCCTCTCGAGGGCCATTTCAATTTTTTCAACATCCTCCGAGGGCCGTACAAATTATTGACCTGTGCTTAAAAAAACTAAAATCACAGCCCATTCATTTGGCCTTTCTTTCATGCTGTGCAAAGAAAAAGCAACCTCTTAATCCAGATATCTCACCATGACATGCATGCACGTGCACGGTGTGGCATGACCACCACAACAGAAAGATATGGACACAAGATGTGTGCAAATGTATTTAGTTTCATATCCATGTGGACATGATTTAAGTGGGGGGGTACCTAACCTCCTCTAGGGGGGTCCGGGGGGCATGCTCCCCGGGAAGATTTGTTTTTAAATATTGAAGTTAAAAGCATCAATCTGGTGCACTTTGAGAGCAACATGAAGAGATCTATGGATACATCTCTCAACACCCAGATGAAACAGAACTGTAAGCAGATTTTCTTTTTCTTTATGGATATTTTACAAATCACTCCCCTTTCAAACTGTATTCTTCTTTATTAATAACAACTTTGTTTTACTGTCATACAGTATCTTATACTGTTTTACTTTATTGTCTTATTTTTTTATAATGATCATATCAATAATAATAATAATAATACGACATCATTACATTTCTGGTGCTCTCTGTCAAACTGCGCCACCCTGTCAGACACGTTAGACTCGTCCGTTGTGTTCAAGGACCCTAAATTTGGGCCAGGAAAAACAGGCCACTCGCCTTTTTAATTTTTTTTGCGGTCTATATTTCTTCAATTTTTTTTTTTTTTCCCCCCAGTTAATGAATTTTTGTCCGGTTAATGATTCTAATGTGTGTTGTTGGTGGTGTGCTGTGTGTGTGTGTGTGTGTGTGTGTGTGTGTTGTGTGTGTGTGTGTGTGTGTGTGTGGTGTTGTGTGTGTGTGTGTGTGTGTGTGTGTGTCGTGTGTGTGTGTTGTGTGTGTGTGTGTGTGTGTGTGTGTGTGTGTGTGTGTGTGTGTGTGTGTGTGTGTGTGTGTTGTAACAGACGCTAGGCCAGTGGTCTTGAGGAAGGAAGGAAAGGCAAGGCGTCTTTTGTGGGAAGAGCGCGTCAAGTATCTTAATCATAGAGTCTGTGCCCAGTGGCAACCTTAGACTCAATCTTAAAAAGCATAAATCAGGTATGGTTTCACTCTCGCTTTCTTCTTCATCCCTACCTGATTCCTGCTTCGTCATCGTGCCTAAATTTCTTCCCTTTTCCTTTTTCAACTCAGCTGCTCTTGTTCTTATCCTATTGCTCAAGGGGACCCGGCCCCTGTCCAAGTTTTCTATTCTCCCTAAAATGTAAGCCCCCTCTGAGCAAGAAGAGAGTAATATCCAACGTTTTCAGGTCTAAATTTTAAAACAGCCGTCCTTCACCCACCTCGGCACGAGGGCCAGGTTTTTATACATATCCTGTGAACAGTATAGCACAGGGTTCATTTTTTTTTTGTACGATCATTAAAAACTTGGAAAAGTCATGGAAATTCAAATG